AACAGATTTGGACACAAGTGTTGCTCAAACGACTCAGACCTGCGAAACGAGATTAACGTTTCATTCATCGGCAGAAGTGCCACAACTTAGACAATGGTTCCGATCTAATCCCAAACCATCCGATCGACTACTTCTTAAATATGCAGAACTCCTCAATCAAAGCTCATTACGACAGGAAAGGTATGTCTCAGCGATACAATGGACAGGGAGGCAGCAAAATGACATTTCTTGGAACCAATGTATAGAAATAGCATAGGATTAGTGTTTACTAATCAGTCATTTATATTATATCGAAGATATGACTCTCAAAATCAATAGGATATCTTCAATACTATGTGTAATACAGTATAAGATTAAAGAAACCCATCGAATGGGTTCTAATAGCAAGTCAATGAATAAAAGTTACTTTCAATGCCTTACATCTCATATCTCATAAACAATTTATAGTAACCTTTGATTTATAGTCAGATATGTTCTGAAAAATATTAAGATTTAAAATATTTATAGGAACTAGTTCACTAACACTAGTAAATGATATGATTCACTAATATGCTTACTTAAATTGTTATTTATCATTTTTAATCAATGAGTTCCCAATTATAGGCCAAAAGTGACGATTAAATCATTGAAGAATTGGTGGAAAAATGAGAGACAAAGAGAAAGAAATGTATTAAAAAAGAGACCAAAAGCTGAGTCGAAATGTATGACAAGTATTGTCTCTCGGAATCAATTGCTGTCTTCGTGTTCCACCTCTTCGGACATCGGATTACATGAGAGCCGAGACAGCAGTGAAGACGAGCCAACCCTCACAATGGCTTTCAATGTCGACGACTCTGAGGACAATATTCTGTGAACGCAATGACCAAAGAATATAACATTTGTGTCGACCACTACTCCCCTCCCATTCCGCACAATCATCTCATCAAGTCTTACCAAATCGTGTCAATCAATCATTTTTTCATTTATTTTCATATCATTTCATCTATTTTTAAAATTAGTTTTATTTTTTGTGTACAATTATGAAACTATTAATTATTTATAAATTCAATTTAATTAGTTTATATTTTGAATATTAAATCTAAAACTTTACAATAATTTTTATGTCTAAAACTTTTTAAATAAAATTGTTTACTTTTCGGTTCACAATAACCCTGGACATCCTCTCAATTAGGATTTCTTTGAAACTGCTTTAATAGTCGTAATATTTGTTATAATCATTACAATTATAATTAATTTAGGCTAAATAATTTGGTTTGTATTAAATATGTTTTCAAATAAAGCTGTTTAATAACTATAATTCAGTATAAATTTAAAATAAAATTCAAAAAGTATTCTGGTTAAACATTTTTAAATATAACAATTAAAGTTATATTCTTTAATATGGTATATCTCACAAGTCAGTACCCTCCCCCTTCTTATATATCACATTATATGTGAATAACCCTTCAAATATTACCCTTGATCATCTATAAAAATTGCATTAACCATGAAATATACCAAATTTACGGTACTTAAATAATCACTTACCTATCATATAATTTGGCTCAACAAATAGCGAGAATATTCTTTAAATTTCATATAAGAATTTTAATATCAATAAAATCAAATAAAACATATATAATACATAAATTGTTTAATAATTAAACTTTATTTTGTGTCATTAGAATCATTAGGAATACACTGATTATATTTTATTTACAAAAAAATATATCTCCTTCGGACAGTCTTCAGGTCGGGGCAAAGCCATCAGTCTCTGTCCATCCACGGCATCGGTGGTAAAGGGCTGGTAATATTACAATATTTATAATATAAAAACTCTTAATAATATTAATAAATACACCTAGGCAAACTTTTTATACCATTAACAGTAATATAGCGTATAAAATTTATTATACGGTATTTAAGCCCTTTTGTAGCAAAGAATCGTATTGCAAGGGGCGTAAGTCAAATAAGTGAGTAAATCAACTCAAGTTTATGTAATTTTTATTAAATTTGATAAAATAATAACACATTTATTTATTGAGCTTTTAAACATTCAAAATTTTAATGTAATTGAATGAATAAACGTATAAATCATAAAAACCATACAAAAAATTATAAAAATGTTTGCGTTTTGAAATAATAATACAATTTAGTATTTTCTATTTAATCACAGATTATGTGCGAAATTATGACAATATTCTAATAAATACTTAAATTATGTTTGAATAAAACCAACAGAATATGAAAGTGTTAATCACTAAAAGATGCCATTTGTTTGAAATTTCACTAATGGTTCGCAAAATGACTAATAAATGGTAGGAATGTTAGAGGAGATCATAGAAGTAGTCCAATCCCTGTCCGATCTCCCAAATGGCAATACCAGTGCCCAGTTCTTGAGCCAATTGAATGCGCTTTTGAATGGAATACAGAGTCGGATAAAAGACACGATTCCTTCCCGTACCAGATCTGATGGCAAACAATACCAGTGATTACAACATGACATTTGGGATATTTAGTAATACAGTATTGAGTTATCAATGAAATGATTATTAGGTACTTGTATTCAAAGTAATGTTCGGCTGAGATCTCATCCCAAATGAGTTTCGGTCTGTATTTATTCAAAATCTCTATATATCTACAAATAAATGACAAATTAAATGAATACATTGCCTAATGTTTGGCGGCCTATAATATATGTTTGACTAATTGACTGAATAATTGAATACATACTGAGAGCCGACGATAGGACCGCCACCGGTGGGCGAGTAGTCATTGCCATAGAAATTGAATCCAACCCATAGTTTTCGCCGAATAGGAGACGTCTGCTTAGGGGTCAGGGTTTTGATACAATCGCGAACCCATTTGAAGGGACTGTTAGGGCCCGGCCTTAAATAACACATAATTATTAGTGAATCTAATTGCGAGGCAATGAGTACCTCTACCTCTGAGTACTGGAGTAATCATATGTCATAACACTGAAACCCTTGACATAAGGGGCCAGTCGTTCGGCGTCGTCCTTCTGGAAAGTGCCCTTTCGTCCACTGAAAATAAATGCAAATATTTGAACATTTCTTAAATATAAACATCAGTTATTAGACTAAACCCGTAGTAAACCGGTGGCGGAACCGCTATTATTAACTCCATCTTATTCTTCTTGAAGTGTGCGTTAAATTTAGTGAAAATAGTCGCCAAATCTCTGCAAATGTTAAGTCATTTCAGTATTTATTTTGTTAAATTGATTGCATATAACATAGAATTGTATTTTTATATTTGAGATAAATTTTGTTTTGAATTTAAATGTACTCTATTTGTATAGAAATAGAAAACTCAAAGTTTTTAAGTGAAAAGAGTGGCAAAGAAATGAAACTCACGGCCGATGCTGTCCTGCAAATGCGTGCCATAACTCAATGACAAAGCCATCAAATTCCCACTTCTGTTAAGGCATTAAAACTTTGTTTTTAAAAAATTCCTTCAATTTAATTCACTTATCATTTATAAATTCTTTAGAAAATTTCAAATATTAATTGAAAATACTACTGGTATCATGAATCCATTAATCAAACTATTATGTTTTTAATTCAAATAAACAATAGAATCTATTTCTACTATAAAATGTTACTTAAAATATAATATAAGAAGTATTTATTAAATAAAAATCAATTTCTAAAAGAAGACTCAGATATATAAAACTAAAAGTCATTATCGATTAAATAAAAATAATTAAAAACCTGATGTAATGAATGTCTAACACGAAAGTCACTGACGGACTCGAAAATTCTCATAACATTGATATACCCGTAATATCTTGTAATAAAAAGTCAATTAAACATATGACACATACTGTTGCAAACTCGCAAAGTTGTCGGCCAATGGCGGGCACTAAATTGGGATGAGTTCCCAAATACATGTACTGTGCGTGAGTCCAGCCCTCAAATATAATTCGCGGCACTTTTAACACAAAAAAATGTCAAATAATTAATTATAATC